GTTGTGATCAACTACTGTTAAGCACTTTAGAATTTTAGTATATTAATTAAGTACAACTAATTTCCAAGGCAGTCATTGAAACATACTTCCTGTTCTCCTTTCCATAATGGAGTCAGGACTTTAAATTATAAGTGCAATATCCTTAGAAACTGCCCAGCTTTATCAGAAATAAGCTCTGAATGTATTATCAATTGTGAAAAGACAAAAGATTACAGTTCCTAATATTCAGTTATAACATCGTGATTCCCAAAATGTAAAAGCTGTGAATGAGGCAACTATTCCAAGTGAGCTTCAGTTGTAATGAATACCAAAGTGAATTTCTTTTACCATGCAAACAACAGGCACACTTTGAACCAGTAACAGCTAGCTTTACATATTAATGTTTGGGTCAAAAGGGCAGGGCAATTTTAAAGTTGACTTCTGTCAGCATCAATCAGATTTTGGACAGTGTCGTTCCTCAGGTCTTCCTCTGCTTCCTTGCCTTCTCACCCAATTGTCAAAGCCAGACACACAAACAAACCCCCTCACTCCTTCAGTGAAGGGCTCAGTGGGGGTGTTTTTGCCACCCATGGCCAGGGGTCATTGGGTCAGCAAAGTCAACAGAATGTCTAGAAGGGCAGAAGCCCAGGAGGCTGGAGCTCTGTAGGTCGCTGGCCTGGGGGCCAGGTGGAGGCTGTCTCTCCCTTCGTCTCCAGCCAGCAGCAGGTCCTGATGGGTGCAGGCTCACCAGAGATTATAGGTTGCCCCTTCACCAGACCCAGTAACTAAAGTTGGCAATGAAACCTCCATCTGCTGGGTCGATTTTTAGAGCTATAAAAAAAATCTTCCACTGGCCCTTTGCATCACCCGCCACCGGCCCCGCCGTACCCCCAACCAAAATAGGGAGGGGGCAAAAATAATTTCTGAGGGTCCGCAGACACCAAAACCACAGCAGACAGAGGCTGTGTCTACCTGAAGAACTGGAGAGGCAGAGTTAGCCGGGGAGGCTTGGCTTCCTCGGCGGCGCCCCCTCCATCCAGCATAAAACTGCGAGGGCGCGGCGTCCCAAGCGGTTGGTGGGCAGGTGGGTGCGCGACAGGAGGAAAGCGCGGAGTCACGAAGACTCCCCCGCTGGGCACCGCCTCCTCTCTGAGGGGCCTGCCCTCCGTCGCGCATTAGTAAGACTATGCTCAGGCCAAACAGTCGCCCCCGGCCAGCCAGACTCGGCTCCAGAGGGAGAGTCCCGCGGGAGCGGGGGCCCAGCGGCGGAGAGGGCCATTCGGACAGAAGGGGGGGAGCCGACAGTGTCCCCTCGCGCCCCCGCCTCCGTCGCAAAGGGAAAGGTGTAGATCGCCAGAGTTCACACCAGAGTGTCCACCTGAGGCTCCTCCTCGCCTCCCAGCACCCTGGAGAGTGGCTCCCTCCGCTTCCTCCTGCCCCCAAGTCGCCGCGCCCCTCCGTGGGACGCTTGGTTGGGTCCGGGGCGGGGCGGGCAGGCGCTCCACGTGCGGCCGTGAGCTCCGCCGCCTCCGCCGCCACCTCGGGGCGGGTCGGGGGCGGGGCCTCGGGGGGCGGGACGGGAGGCGTGGGCGGGGCGGACGCGGAACGCTCGTCTAGCTGCAAACAGGCCGAGGGGCTGAGAGGAGCGGGGTAGGTTCGGCGCCGGCAGGAAGGCACGCAGAGCTGACGGGAGTCCGACGCCTGGTGCTCGGGACTTTCTCCGAGGTACGAACAGGAACCCGGCGTCTGGGGCCTCTCAGCACGCCCCCTAGCTCAGCCGCCGGGCCCCGGCCGCCCGCTGTGCCCCCTGCCGGCCGGACGGCGGCGGTTGAAC